GCCCATAGGCAAAAATACAGACATTATATCCCTCAAATGCATGTAAGAGCATTTCCTTTCCAATGTCATTGTACACACGGTTTTGAGATGCAAAACAGGGATCTTCGGGCTGTAAAGATTAAAAGGAGAAATAAATGACATTTTATTCATATTCTTTCCTATGCTTATTTGATTACTGCTCTAATAAATACAAGTGCTTTGAATCAGACAAATCACCTAAAACATATATTTTTAAAGTTTCCCCTACATGTTATTTTTCTCATTTTATACGCACGCATGCACTATTGGAGTTATCCATTATCCAGGTCAGCCATACATAAAAATATCTACATGAAATTATCTAACATGATTATATTTCATTTTCCATTACTTTACAAATATCACTCTTCCATTCATAGGGAGCTCCAAGAAAATTTTCTTAAGGAAACCTTTGGAGCAGGGGTCGCCAACTGGTGGTCTGCAGAACACTGGTGGTCCATGAGGTCTGAAAGGTTGGCGACCGCTGGTTTAAAACATCTCCTTTTCCAACACAAAATAGGAAAAATAAAGAATTAAAGAATGCCTAACAAGGAGATGCAGAAGCAAACCCTAGTTTAGGAAAAGCCCTAGAAGCCAGCAAGACAAAGGATTCTACACTGAGTAAGGATACAGCGAAGGGCCCCACTCTCCATTTTCCTAGATGTTGGTAACCCCTGTTTTTCTTGTTGGACCTGAAGGCTCTTTTGAAACACATTAAAAAACCCTTCAAACCCTGCTCCTCTGCAGCACCATGAGTGTACTCACCGAGGTGTGAGACCAGTAGGAGTAGTCGAAGCTGAAGGACTTTGGAGCTTCCTTTGGGTTCTTTGGGTTAACAATACCTAGAGGATGAAAATGTTTTGATTTTTTAAGTCACTCAGTTACATGTTCTTTAGTTCAACACGATGTTATATGGTAAATTCAAAAGATCCAAATCAGTAAATTGATACTGCTGAATCTAAACAGGGTACTCAAAAAACAAAAATAATCACATTTTTAATAGATGATCTACATATATAATTTGAAAATAATCAGACCAGTAACATTCACTAAGGGTCACCAGGATTCAGAGCAGAGCCTGGTAGACAGTAGGTGCTCATTAAATACTTTATGAGTGAACCCGAGGTAAGAAAGCAGCCAAAATCTGGAAATGGGCCATATTACTACTTCAAGGTGCTTTGTAAGGCTTCAAATATTTCAACACATCAGAAATAAAAATTAGAAAATTATTGAATCAATCTAGCCACTATTTGAAACAAACTCTTTTTAAAGCTCTACTTCAGAAAAGCTTTTGGTAATAAAGCATTCTTTGGAAAGATAATCTTATTTCTGAAATCCACAGCGGACAAACTAATACGTAAGTGTTCATATATGTATGTGTGTACATTTGTGTATATGAGTGTGTACAGTGGAATCACAGACCACTAAATCTTCTATAGAATGTTTTTACAGCAAAATTACTTTTTGATTGAAAAGCATGAAGTCTCACTGCCCATATTAACAGTGATTTCTCCTGTGATTAATCCTGTCACAGTTCACTTCAGGGACTGACTGCTGAGACTTAGCCCCTCTCCCTTTCTCATACACACAAAGCGCTGGCTCCTCAGATTCCACATGGAATAGAATCCTTGTAACGTGGTCATGAAACCTCCTCAAAGACCAGACATCTACACCAACCTACTTCTCTAAGGCAGGGCCACATCCCAGGGTATCAGTGAGATCAGGATTAAAAAATAAATCTGTCCAGAGCAGCTGCTGCTCCATACACAAATAGCAACAGTTGCTACGGTGCTTAGTTCTCTCTCTTGCTCTTGCTGGATTCCACTGGGTAGGGCCACATACGTTCCAACCTCAAATGCTGAGAGTATTACTAAGGCTCACACTGCACATAATCATGTGACAGGGAGACATGATTCTAGAAAGAACATCTCCCCCCACACAAATGGTAACCTAAACAAAGAAGAAGTTTCTAAACAAAAGGCATTACATATAATATTTAAGTAACAGCCAACATTCATGGAGCACTTCCCCCCAGCTGTAAGTGCTTTCTATGTACTAACCTATTTAATCCCCCCAACCACTCAATAAGGCAGACGCTTTATCAGCCCCATTTAATAGGTAAACCATCGCAAAGAGGTTTAAATAACTTACCCAAGGCTACAGAACTAGCTAGTGCCAATCCAGGATGCGAACTTAGAAAGTTTATCTCCAGAGCCCACTCTGAGCCAAAACACTCATCATTAAAATGCTTATTCCCTACATGCAGCCACTGCCAGTAAGGCATCTTTAATGAATATGCACACATATAGGTATGTGTATGCACATGTATTATGACTACCCCTAAAAGAATACCACAGGCATTAATACTCTTCTTACCCATTTAAAACTAGGAACTTAATGATCATAGTTCCTAAAACATGAAAGACCACATACAAACTCTACCAAGCAAAAAGGAAGTTAGTGTCATGCTGCATGAACCACATTCCAGATTTCAGAGGCTCAGCAATAAGGACAATGACGAGATGAGACGTAGGTTATGACCTCTGAAGTCTTCACCATTAAAAAAACATGGTTAAAACAAACACTTCTAACCTTTAGAAAATTTGCTATTATAAATCTTTTAAGCATGTTTCATTAAGTCTTTTGTTTGTTTGTTTGTTTTTGTTAATCCTCCCCGGAAAATATTTTTTTCATTGATTTTTTTAGGGAGAGTGGAAGACAGAGGGAAAGACAGAGAGAAACATGGATGTGAGAGAAACACATTGATTGGTTGCTTCCTGCATGCCCCAAACCAGGTAGGGCCCAGGCCAGGGAGAAGCCTGAAACCAAGGTACGTGCCCTTGACCGGAACTGAACCCGGAACCTTTTGGTCCACAGGCCAATGCTCTATCCACTGAGTCAAACCGGCTAGGACTCATTAAGTCTTTTAATTGGTACCAATTCTGCCAAAAACAACTTAAAGATCTAGTTTTCAGATCTTACCCCTTTGTTTTCTTTTCCCTAGTAAAGAAAACGAAAAACTACAGCAGTAATTTCCTTGATACACACAAAATCCTTTTCCTCGATATTCACTCCTCCCAGATCGTTGAAACTTCTGAAACTAATAAATGTTCCTAGCTTCCAGCTTCAACACCAAGCTGCTTTTTAAACAAAACCCTTTTGAAAAACATAAGTAAACCAAAGTATAATTTTAAAGTTATTTACATAATAGTTATGTCAGCCTGGCTGGCATGGCTCAGTGGTTGAGCATCAACCTATGAACCAGGAGGTCACGGTTTGATTCCCAATCAGGGCAAATGCCCAGGTTGCGAGCTTGATCCCCACTGTGGGGTGTGCAGGAGGCAGCCAATCAATGATTCTCTCTCATCATTGATATTTCTATCTCTCTCTCCCTTCTACCTTCCTCTCTGATCAATAAAAATATATTTTTAAAAAAACAAGATTAAATTTACCCAAAATATTAAATTTTTTAAAATTCCTAAAAAATATTCTTTAAGATACCTCAGAAGAATGCAAAATTCAATACTGTTGTTACCTGTTTTAAGGGGAAAGTGTAAGCAGAAAGCCTTTGAAGGCATGGGTAATTTCTATGTTAGGTTGGGTAATAGTTATAGGGTTGTTTTATAGTATTCTTTATATTTAAATATACATTGTATTGTCTTTAATATTTACTGATACAAGATTAAGAAACCCCAGAACTCTGCAAATGAAAAAGACTTATAAAAATATTAATGACAGCACTTGAACTCATCATAGTCCACTATTACTTCCACAGACAATGAATCAATGTTTTCAAATATGCCAAAGGATTTTTCTTTTTTAAAATGTTTTTACTGATTTTAGAAAGAGAGGAAGGAAATGGATATATAGAAATATCAATAATGAGAGAGAATAATTGATCAGGTGCCTCTGCACACCCCCTACTGGGGACCAAGCCTGAAACCTGGGGCGGTCGGGGGGGGGGGGGGGGGGCCCTCAACCACTCAACAATACCGGCAGGGCCCAACGGACTTTTCTTTCTGAATTAGTAACAGTTGAGATCTAACCCTCTTCCTTTAACCCAATTAAGAAATAGGATATTTCCAACCATTAATAAAAAGAGGAGAGGGCGGGGCCCTAACTGGTTTTGCTCAGTGGGTAGAGCATCGGCCTGCGGACTGAAGGGTCCCAGGTTCGATTCCGGTCAAGGGCATGTATCTTGGTTGCCGGCACATCCCCAGTAGGGGTGTGCAGGAGGCAGCTGATCGATGTGTCTCTCTTATCGATGTTTCTAACTCTCTATTCCTCTCTCTTCCTCTCTATAAAAAAAAAAATCAATATATATTTTTTAAAAAGAGGAGAGGGGGAAATGGCAGGGAAGTTGGCGGGGGGAGGTTAGAGATCAACCAAAGGACTTGTATGCATGCATATGAGCATAACCAATGGACGCAGACACTGGGGCAGTGGGGCTTGCCCTTGTGGGTTGAAATGGCTGGGGGAGGGCGTCAATTGGGGGGGGGGGAGTAGACATATGTAAAACTTTAGACACTAAAAAAAAAAGAGAGAGAGAGGGGAGACAGTACATTTCATTAGAAAGGTTATAGGTTTTGAACTCAAAGGACCAGCATCAGTGCCTATATATCGATATCTTTCAATATTCTACACATACGAAAAATAAAAATATATTTAGATTTTTTTGGTGTGATCTTGGGTATTGTTTCACTTTTGCATCCTATTAAAAACTGAGATAATTCACAGGATGAAATATGTAAAGCACAACACAAATGTTAATTTTCAATAATAGGTATTCTACCTTGGTTTTTTTGTTTTGTTTTTCAAATGAGTTCAAATGCATTTTATTTTTAGACGACCTATATGACACATTATTCTTAAAAACAATGCCTCTACTCCAAATATATCAAGAGCAAAATAAATAAAGAGCTCAAGATAACATCAGTCCCATTGTCCTAGTCCTCATGTTTAGATGGAAAGCAGCAGCCAGGTGCTCACTTCGGTAGCACATAACTAAGATTGGAATGATACAGAGAAGATTAGCATGTCCCCTGCACACAGATGATACGCAATTTCATGAAGCGTTTCGTATTTTTTTAAAAAAGAAAAGAAAACTGTGGTACATCTACACAATGGAATATTATGACGCTATAAAAAAGAAGGAACTTTTACCATTTGCAACATCATGGATGGAACTGGAGAGCATTATGCTAAGCGAAATAAGCCAGTCGGAGAAAGATAAATATCACATGATCTCACTCATATATGGGATATAATGATCAACATAATTTGATGAACAAGAATAGATCCAGAGACAAATGGTAGGGGAGGGGCGGGGAGGTTAGAGAGCAACCAAAGGACTTGTATGCATGCATATTAGCATAACCAATGGACAGAGACACTGGGGTGGTGGGGGCTTGCCTGGGGTGGGAATGACTGGGGGGGGGGGCGGGTAGTGTCAATTGGGGAAAAAGGAGACATATGTAAAACTGTAGACAATAAAAAATAAAAACAGCAGCCCGTTATGATGACAGGTGATAGATCCAAACTGCCAAATTTGTTAACATTTTCCCATTCCTAAGCTATCCTTAAAGAAAATCATATTTGAGTTACACATCCTCACGGAAATCCTGCAGAGCAACCATGCCATCTGTTTTCAGCAATAAAGAACTGGTAGGTTTTAAAATTAGCAAGGATGTGCTTGATTTGTTCTGAAGCCCATCATAAAAGGTTTTACTCTTTCATAAAAGGTTTTACTCTTTCTGGTGGTCTCTGTTCTTCAAGTTTCCCTTTAATTGATCTCATGTCATCTTTGACATACTTCTTGTAGGCTTCTTTTGTGAAGCTGGTTTCCTGCACGTGATGGTTCATGAAACTTTCAAGCAGTGATTACTGTGCTTTCAGTACCTTTGCCCTCAGTAATCATCACGTTTAATAAAAACCTTCCACCCAGACCCCCATCAAATGGTGTCTCATTCTCTGAGGTTGCCCACTCTCACTTCTCGAGTGCGTACTATTGCTTTAAAAAATGTACTGTACTTTGCTAAATCCTCTGTCACACTCTTGAATCCTTTCTTGTTCTGTGACAAGAACCTGGTTCAGGTTGAGGCCTCCCTTAACCTCCTTGGGTGTCACCCAGCATCAAAATGACCACTTTTCCTGCAAAGAATAGATTTTTTGAGTACTGAGTCAGAACATAACTCTTATTTTAAGTGCTATATACTTCAGTTGCTTTATTTCCTATAAAATCACCTTTCATACCACTTTTCAAGGTCCCTTTTAAACTCCTCTGCACCCGAGGCTTCTTCTCCAATCAAGATTTCTCTTATCTTCCAGACCTGGATTCACCTCCACAAGCAACTTTTCACAGATGATCTTGGAGTCGTTTTTGACTTTTTTCTCTCACCTTCCACTTCTGATCTATCCTGTCAGCTCCAATTTCAAATGTATACAGAATCCCATGGCTTCTTACCATTACTATCATATCACCCTGGGCCAAACCACCATCTCTCTCAGCTGGATAATGCAATACCTCCTGACTGGGTTCCCCGCCCCCGCCCCGAGCCTGGAGGAGTCTAATCACTACATTGCAGGCAGTGAGCTTTCTCAGACCTCCTTGTCAAGGTTCTAGTGAAAACCTTTCAATGGTTTCCCATCGAATGGTTTTATACATGGAGTAAAACCCCAGGAGGCTTTATAATGGTTCCATCTCCCACTCCCTCTCTGACCTTCTCTCCAAAGATTCATTCCTCACTCCAGGTCCACTGGCCTTCTTATTAAAGACACAGTGTAATTATTGCTCAGAGACTCTATTTACTGCCCTACTAGGAATGCTATTCTCCCAGGTAATAGCCCACTCCCTAACTTCATGCAGGCCTGAGAAGGGAGACTGCAGGAGCACTGGGAAATGATGTTAATACTGCATTACTCAGTCCAGTGCTTCAGAGGAGATGTGCTGGATTGGAGGGTTAATGGCAGTTAGGGTTTATGGTGTTTTACCCATAGGAAAAAGAAAGCTATTAGAACTTTAAAAAAATCATGCACCCACTCAAAGTCAAATCTTCTCCTGTCGCTATATATTAGAATCCCCTACTCTTTCCACTCCGAGTGGTGGGCACACGGTGCAATATACAAATATTGTAACACAGAAACCCACACCTGAATCTATATGCTCATACTGACCAATGTCACCCCAATCAATTTAATAAATATTAAAACAAACAAACAAAAATACTACATTACAATGGCATCCAACTAGACAAGTCCATTTTCCTGATCTTCTGCCTTGTCTTCCAATAGTCCCTGTGTCTTTGCTGTCTGTGCTTTTACTCAGTGTGCTCAACTCTCCAAGTATCCCAAGTCTGAATTGGCTTCCATGCTAATAATCTTTCTAAAGAAATGGCGGTTGTAAAAAATCTCAGGATCCTATTTTAAGAAAGGAAAAGTTAAACAGCACTTTCATTCATTGGACACATTCACTGAGCACATTTATTAAGTATAAACTATGCACCAGGCACTGTGCTGGGGATATAATGGCAAGCAAAAAAGTTATTTCCACCCTTCTGGAGTGTATAGCCAATGGAGGAGACAGACCTATAATCACACAAAATACAGAGTTAGGAGATACAAGGTGAGAGCAGGGGTAGTTATTTCAAATAAGAGTGGGCAGGCTGCCACCTCTGAGAAGGTGATATTTAAGCAGGGATCTGAATACATTTGAGGAACAGGTATGACCACCAGTGTAATCAGAGGGGTAAACATTGACAAGGTGTGAGATCATACAGCTAGCCAGAGGCCAAATTCCTTGTGGCCAATGTGAGGGTTGTGTTTTTGGGTTTTATAATTCTAAAAGTGATAGAAGCCAAGGAAGGATTTTAAGCAGAGGGGGTGACATAATCTAATTTACTTTTCCAAACTATGACTGGCTACTGCATAGAAACAAGAGCAGGAAGCGAGAAACAGGAGGCTACTGCAGTATTGACTTAGATAAGAGTGAAAATGGTAAAAAGTAACTGGATCCAAGATAGCTTGTGAAGGCAGAGATGACAATACTTACTGATGAATTACAGGTGGCCTGTAAGAAAGAGAGAGGAGGCAAAAGGGACCCCAAACTAAAAGAATGAGTAAGAATGAAGGAAGAACCACTTCAGGTGGGTATGGAGGAAAGGTAAGTATTTCTGTTGAAATACTTCTTAGGCTTTCAAGTAGAGTTAGGTTAGCAGCTGGGCAGACAAGCCTGTAGTTCTATAGAGAGATCCAGGCTAGAGAAATGGATTTGGTAGTCACCGCCAGCTCAGTGACATTTGAAGCCTTGAGCCTGGGTAAAATCACTTAGGGAGTCTGTCTTCTCTAGAGATAGAGAAGAGCTCAAAGAGAAGAGACAAAGTCCTGGTTCACACAGGAAGGCGAGGAAGAACGGAGAATGGCCTGTCAGTAAGGAAGGCAATCAGGAGAGCATGGGTACTGAGAGCCAAGAGGCGGAAATGTTTCAAGGATGAAGTCAAGCTATATTAGCTGCTACTATTACAATGCTTATTACCATAACCATCCTCTGGGCTCCCTAGGGGAAGGAGTCTTTGTTCAGGCTACATCCTGACTTCCCCAATAACTCCTCTGCTCACCCTCACCTCTGGGCCTTGGCTCCCTAACACTGTTCAGACCTTGTCTAGTTTCAAGGCTGTTTTCTTAAGTTTCCCTTCATATATCAGAAAGGCAGTCTCAAAACTGAAGATCTTATTGTATCTTTCCCCCAGTCCAAAGGGAAGACGATCCCACATTTATCCTCTCCCTACATCTTGCACAGCTTTCCCTTTTCATCTTCAAATGTTTTATTCCTCCTGCAGTGGTCATTTCCTTAGGAGAGCTGAAGAGTGAAGACCAGGACAGCATCTCCCATGTAAAGGCTTACTTGCAGACCCTTACCCAAGATAAATGGAAATGCCTTTAAAAGGACTATCATAAATGTTCCATAGGTTTTCATTACTGAGGAGCCACAGGACCATCTTCTCTTTTGTGGAGTCCCTTCAAGTCAAAATTAGCCTTACACAATTCATTAAGTCCCTTAATTTTACCCCTTTTTCCTTGCCTTATTTCCTACTTTGTTACTTCAGCACACAGATGCAGAAATAATGTTTAAATTACTAACCATTAAAAAACAAGGCAGTCAAAACAAAATTTGTGCTTAAAAGCCGTTTATTCTCCAGAATAATTTTGTTTATCTAAATCTCAAAGTCTCTATGTAGCAATTATACTGTTGTTGGCAAACTACTAAAGAATTTGCCTGCAACTACAATTAACATATCAGTGTGGTAACACTGTAACTTTATATTAACTTTTCTATCACAGCATGTGCGGGGTTTGTTAAAAATCCCAGTGACATCTTCAGCAAACTTTCTCTTCCAAAAGCTTCCCGTAGCCAATTAAGAAAAATGGCACACAATAAAAGTATTTTATACACCATTTATATCCCCAAACCATAAAACCAAAACCCATAAGCAGCACCCTCCCTACTCAGAATAATGTATTTCCAGAAACATATTAAAGTGGTAAAGCACATTGCTATAAGGAGGATTTGCACAAACGACCTATAATTATAACATTTCTTAATTATTTAAAATAACAAACTTAGATTCCAAATCTTATAAACAGGATAAATGTACTCTATGTTCATGATATACTAAATCCCTTTGTATTAAAAATAAACATACAATAGGAAGAAAAACTACCAGCTCTATTAGTGTCACAATTTTATTAACTAGGTATAAAATAAATATGCTAGCTATAATAAATATTCAACAAACTCTCAGTTAACAATCATTCTACTCTTCCTTAGCAAATGTTTATTAATTTTAATTTATTGATTTGAGAGAGAGAGAGAGAGAGAGAGAGAGAGAGAGAGACATCAATTTGTTGTTCCACTCATTTAGGCATTCATTGGTTAATTATTGTATGTGCTCTGACCAAGGATTGAACTTGAAACCTTGGTGTATTGCAGGGGTGCAGGACCTTTTTTCTGCCAAGGGCCATCTGGATATTCATAACTCGTGGTCCATACAAAATTATCAATTTAAAAATTAGCCTGCTATATTTGGTCAAA